TTTCTTTTTTATTGTGATTTGGCTGAAAGTTGACAAAGCAAACTCACTTGCCATACATCAGCTCACATACACTTTGTCTCATGACACTGACTACAATTTGCCACAGTGCAACAGTTCCCCTCCCATCTCCTCCCCATAGTCACCTCTTCCCTGTGTCCTTCCCTCCATGCACTCCCACGCCTTGAGATGTCTCTGTGCATACACAGCCCTTCTGTTCTCCCACAATTGTTCTTTCCAAGGAGTGTATCTACCTAATATAAATGTTCACCTCATATGCCTGTCTTTTGTTTGGCTGGAAGCCACAGATGTGGGTTCATTTCCAGACTTGAAGGGCAGCTAGGGGCCATAGTCTCAGGGGTTCTGTGGATAACTTTTATGCTACCTATAGACAAGGCTTTACTATGTGATTAAGAGTATAATTTAACCCAGCAAAATCATGTTCTATATATTAACAGCTATCTCAGCTACTGTATTTGTCCCTTCTAGATTGTTACTTCCAAGTAAGTAGTGTTCCAGTATGTCTACCTGCAAAGTGACAATTATCTGATACTCTGCTTTGAAAACAGCCACTTTTTAGCCAATCAAAGCTACAAACGGTAATTGTTTGGAAGCTATGAGTATCATAGAATGAGAAAACACCATTCAGTTTCAGGACAAATTGTTCCTGTGTGCTTTGTGAAGGCAGGTCCTTGTTGCCATTGGCTGTATGGTGCCCAACAGAGTTTCTGCCAGTTAGTGTTTGGTCATCTGCTTTTGCAGGAAAATTCACTGCCTTGAATACCTATGGAGCACTTCTATTCTGCACATGCAGGGTCTCCATGAGCAACTTAAAACTAACTCGAATATTCTATCCCACACAAACGGCCTACATTTCCCAGAAATTCCAGTTTTCCTGCTTGCAGATTCCATCTCCCAAGCTACATCCCACCCAGAAGAAGTACAGAAATGCTCCTCTAGATTCTTCTACGTCACCTCTTTTTTTTTTTCTCTCTCTCCTTCTTTCTCTCTTCTTTTAAGTTTAGGATAAAGTAAAATTTATAAGAAAGTTATCCTTGAGGTCACCACAAGGTTGCAAACTTCCTTTTTGTAACTCACTTAACCTCCTTTGCCCTTGTAAGTAACTGTCTCCCAAATGCTTTTGGAGCATTCTTTATTTACATTCTTCATTCATTTAGCCACCTTATATTATAGCATAATTTTTCTACAAGAAAATATTTAAATTTCAACTGGTTTATTCATACCTCTGAAAAATAATGAGAAAAGTGGATGATTCTCTGTATGTCAGAGACACAGAATTATTTTTTAGCCAAATTCCCCCAATATTTATGAAGTTCACGTATCACTATGTATCCAAGAGACTTCTTTGGTAGTATCCTACAGATGGGTCAGAGTTTGCACCTTGGGGAACTGTTAACTTCCAGATCCACTGGGCAAACATTGTTTTCATTCTAGGTACTAACGAAGTCTGTCTAACAGGGACTGAGGAACACAAGGAATGTGGAACTTGGACACCAGATGACATTAGGAGAAACAGAAAAGACCATGCGTTGCCACCACTCCAAGTGCTGCACAGGATGGGGGCAGACTTGTTGACCATCCTCCTCCTGGAGGGTCTCACTGAGTGTCAACACATAAAGGGCTGTGAAAAGATAAGCCCCTAAAGACACCTTCCACATGTGTTTAATATCGTGTTGACTTGACCATAGCACCTTTCATGGTAGGGTGTCTCAGAGGACCCATGTCCCACAGAACATACTGTTGAAAGCACAGAGAAGCAGGCAAAGTCATCAAAGAAAAACTCAACCAATCAATCCAAAGTCACAAAAGTGGTGTCAAGGACCCAGTAGCAACATCATGAAGTAGTTCTTCAGAGACTTGAAGAGTTAATACAGTAATAATAATGACACTTCTCTCACTGTGGATTGAGAACTTAGAGGCACTGTGTCAGCATGCCATATTTTACTCATAGTGGCATTGTTGTCTAGGGGTAAAGACCTCAGTTCACAGTCTTGCTCACTCACCAACTGTGTGTTCTTGGGAAAATCATTTAACTCTTCCATGACTCAGTCTCTTCAGGTATAAAATGGGGGCAGTAATAGTACCTGCCTCACAGAGTTCTGAGAATTAAATGAGTTAACAAGTGCAATGTTCTTAGAAGATTTGGCACATAATAAGCCCACTGTAAGTATTTGCTATTACTGTGGCCCTCCTACTTAATTTCAAGAGGTAACCTAAGTACTGTGAATTATTTTAAAGGGAAAAGATTGACCAGAAAGCAGATGAAGAAGCATACGAAGCAGAAATTCAAGCCGAACTAAGTGAATTGTTGGAAGAGCACGTGGAAGACTATGAACAAAAGATGGAGGAGTACAGAACAGCACTTCAGCAGTGGAAAGCCTGGAAGAAAGCCCAGGTTTGTACACCTTGAATGCAGCTGACCTTGGAGACAGGGAGGCCTTGGGTGCCTTGAGGCAGAGGAGGGAAACGGGTGGTAATTGGGGTCTCCCATTGGCTTCGCTCTTTCTTCCTCTCTGTCCTTCACTACAGGACAGAAAAAATGGAGTCATGAATACATTTCATTAAAAAGCCTTTTAGCTAGATGATAGTAGAACCAGCTTTGTCCATTTTGTGGTACCCTCCATAACCATCTGAATAAACAAACAAGCAATAATAATAGAAATTGCTACTGTGTATTTCCATTTGCCATCAATTCAATGCCAACTTATGGCCACCCATGTGTGTCAGAGTAAAGCTGTGCTCCACACGGTTTTCAGTGGCTGGTTTTTCAGAAGTAGAATACCAGGCCTTTCTTCTAAGGCATCCATGGATGGATTTGAACCTCCAACCTACTGGTTAGCAACCTAACACATTAACTGTTTGCACATACCTATTATATTTCAGGTTAAGTATTTTACATGCATTCTCATTGGATCTCGGGTATTGACACCATACTTCTGGATTTTCCTCTGAAAATGAGACAACTTTATTCACATGGCCCTGCAAAACTCAATCCAAGAGCAAGTAGTACTAGATCAGCATGACTATGCTCCCACGCCTCACTTTAGTTTCACGATATGTCCTCGACCTTTAGAACCAATAGTAAAGAATCACCAACATTTTTAAAGTTCTTTCAAGGGAACCGGCACTGTGCTAATTGCTTTATAGGCATTGCCTCCTTTCAACTTCCCTGGGAGGAGTTTGCTATCATTGTCCCCATCGTGTAGATGAGAAAACTGAGGCACAGGCAAGTGACTTGCCTGAGTGCACCCAGGTGGTTGGGCTTGAGCTGGGGTTTGCATCTGGGTCTGTCTGGTTCTAAAGACTATGTATGCTCTTAACCCAAATTTCAACATTGCTATTCAACATAACGTTGCCCCTTATACAACAGAGGGCCAAGAAGAAAAAAAAGAAACAAGTAGCAGAAGAACACCCCGATGAGGAGACTGAGGAGCCAGGTCCTGGAGAAGAGCCGTGTCCTGGGGAGGATCCTGTGAAGCCCATCCCTCCGGAGCTCATGGATCAAGCAGTGATAGAGCAGCAGGTGAGGGAGAGAGCAGCCCAGAGCTGGAGACGGCCTGGGGAGCCCACACTGGTCCCAGAGCTGAGCCTGGCGGGGAGCATAACGCCCAACGACCAGTGTCCCAGGTGAGTGGATGCTGCCACCATAGATGATGCTGACGCCTCACACATACACAC